AAACACCACTACTTCCATGTGAGGAAGACAACTGGTTTGACACGAGGCTCTGCTTCAGAGTAAGAACTGGTTGCAGTTACAGGCTGGTCCCCTGAATGTCTGGATTTCATTTTCAATCCATTTCTGTCAGAGGTAGCAAGAAACCTTTGTAACATCATGGAAACAGACACATCCTGTGTGCATCCCCTACCAGGACCATCATTTCTGGTGTCGTGAGGTTGTCCTGTGCAGGGCCAGGAGCTGGACTGAGTCTTTTCACGTTATGATATTCTATGATCCTATGACCAGGAGCACTTCCAGCCACCCACCCTGCTGTGCTGCAGCACCTCACTGCCATCACAGGGCACTGCTGGTGACCCAGCAAAGCCAAATGGAGCTCTGACTGGCTGTTTATGCCACCACATACACAAACACGGGTCTGCCCCAGGTGAACGGGCAGAGCAGACCAGGCAGCTTTGTCATCCCAGCCCTCGGAAAAAATGGAGAAACCGAAAGGAAGTCAAGGACACCTTAAGAGAGGAACAGAAAACAATGGGGAGCTCTGCTGGGAGGGAAGGAGTCCAAGGAGCGGGATTATAGATGAATAACATGTGCAGTGTAATTAATCTAGATTAGTTTTGTTTTATAGCATTAGCAGGCCGCAGTCGCAGCATGCGGGGCCGCGGTCCCGCGAGTTCCCAGCGCTGGCCGATGGCTGGGACAGCTCCAGGCCCAGCCTCAGCGCGCAGGAAGCGCTGCCGGTGACTCACCGCATGCTTGCTCAGAGACTAATGAACTAATTCCGGCACTCCGGCCTTTCCACGGCCCCCTTCCATTAATCTTCCAGTTAAAAAGTGCAGCAGTCGCTCAAGAGGGAAATTCCCACCGTGCAGAAGGATTTTGCCCTGTGCTGACCTCCCTGGCAGAGCCGAGAGCCCGAGCTCCCCCCGGGCCCGGCAGCGCGGGGATTCGCGGCCCTCGCTGGGATTCGCGGCCCTCGCTTGGTTCCCGCAGCGCTGCCGCGGCTCGGGATGCTGCCGCTGCTCTTCGGGGTGAAATGCAGAGGCAGATCTCGTCCTGCTGCCGGGCAGCTCGCAACACACACCTTTGTTCCCATAAAATATTCCCCTTGGCATTTTTGGGCCAAAATTCCAACTTCTGCAATAGCAAGTTGCCCATCTGAAGTGCTTAGAGACATCCTCACCTCCCTCACAGCGTCCCCCCCTCTCGAACTCTGGAGAGTTGGGGTTTTGCTTTCCCTAGATCACAAATTGCCACATGCTGTCCCATTACCAACAGCATTACTTCTAAAGGACCCACATGCCAGTTGTGCCTGGAGATGTATTAGAGCTTTCCCAACTGCAAAGAAATGAAGCACAGTTAAAAATTGTTCCTTAAAACTCCTGAGACAGAAGAGCTGCACAATGCTCCAAACAGCAGGAGAGCAGGGGATGGTGGAGACAGGCTCTCCTGGAGAGTGATGTGGACAGAAATTGATCTGTGCTTCCCTTTTCACCCAGGACAGTCTGTATTTAACATTTATCATCATGTGGAAAACACCTAAATAATTCCAGGGATGGCAGAGGTTTGCAACCACAGACTTGGGCAATGGGAGAACCAGTGCGACTGGGGACTGAGGGTCCAGTTACCACACAGCTACTTTACTCCATCCTTTGTCTTTATTTTATATTTGTATTTCTTCAATATAATAGAATACAACTTATTTTACATAATGTATACAAACTATATCACAGTGCTTTACAGAGCAAAGCATGAATTACATGGTGAAAACTGAGAGAAAAATGACATGGTCCTCTGCTTTGCCAAGCCCCTTCTTTTCTCCCTGTTCCAGGAGACCTCCCAGGACACCCTCAATCTAGTGGGGATCTCCCACCTGACTAATTCCTGCCCCAAGGTGAATTTGCTCATCACCACTGTGCTCTCCTCTCTCTGGAGCACTGGCAGGGCTGGTATCCCAAAGAGCTGTCACATTTAACCTCCTTGTTCTTATCTCCTTTTCCTCACAAGACAAGCAGCAGCTCTCTCTTTTGAGCAACATAATTACTCTGAAAGTAATTACTGGAAACTGAGGGAAACCCCCCATCATTCCTTTCTCTCAGGATGAGCTATTTTTCCCAGAGCACATGGATGGCCCCAGATAAACCATGGGGTTTGGCAATGCTGTTTGCTGCATTTCTGAAAGCAGTACATCCATCACAACTCCACAGTACCAGAGCCAGGGTGGGATGCAGACCTGGCTCCTCCAACAGACTCATTGTAGCTGCTTTATGAACACAGAAAACAAAAAGCACTCACAACTGGTGTTACAGGATACTGTAAATGACATTGGATTGATGTCTCTGAGACCTGGGAATGAGAGTACTCACTCTGGGAAATGGGAAGGTTTTGGAAGCTGAGAGAGAGTGGGATTGGGGACAACAGGAGCTGAGGGTCACACACACCACAGAGAAATGGCAAGGACAGACAGAGGGAGAATGACCTTAATGCCAGATGAAAAGCTTTCAGAAGTGATCCCTGTAGGAATCCTGAGCACAACACACACTTCTGTGGATACACAGACATGTAGAAACAAAAGGAAGGTGTTGGACATGGCTTCCCTCAGGCCCTGAGCTACTGCAGAACATCACATTGTGAAACAGGGCACTGTTTTAACACATACTTTTAATGAGTAATATTAATAATAAACCACCCATTTTCCATTCTCTAACCTAATGGAAAAAATGTAGAAATTCCCAGCATTTGTACAACAATGTCATGTCCAGAATGATCAGGATCCCTTTCTGCAACAGAAGAATGGAACACACCCATGGCAGAGCTGATGACAATGGGCAGAAAAAGAGCAAAGGCAGACATGTAGGAGCAAGTTTCCCTACAACACTTAAAATAGAAACATAGGGTAAAAATACATTTTATGAGTAGGAAAAAGTGAACAAGAAACCAAAGTTTTCCTAACTTCAGAGTCCAGTTCCTCTCCTAATCCCTTTTATTCCAGATCCACATCAATGAATCAGAATTTGACCTAAAAGCTTTGCAGCAGGAGAATTAGCCAAACGCTTGAATTAAATATTGCTTATAAAAATCTATTTCCTTTTCTTAACAGCAAATTTTCCAACTGGGAAAAGAGTTTGAGGCCCACATGCTTTCTAAGTTTGGAGAATTAGACACTTCTCTCTTAAATCCCATCCTTCATAATCTGGAAAAGATACAACTTTACACATCAAATTATTTTCCAGGAGAAACTCAGCAGGATATTTCCTTAAGCAGGAGGATTTCTCTCCATCTAAATGATTCTTGAACAACCTCTTTAATTTCTGACCACACATCCTGCAGTCATTGAAACCACTTTGAGCATGATGGGATCTGCTGGCCCTGGTGGCTGTTTGGCATTCCAGGACTTCCTCCTGACCAGGACCTGGTGCATCTGCTGGGGCTCTCCTGGGCCCAGTGGCCAAGGGACAAACCTGCCTTGGCTTGGCTGCAAGCTCAAGTGCTGCTGTGAGGTCACTCCAGCAGAAAAAAATAAATACCTCAGACTCTGCCCACAAAACTGCACTTAGCAAGAAAGTCCCAATACAACCTGACCAAAAAAAACCGCCATGTCCCTTTAAATTTCACAATTCATTGATATTATTTGGTTATAATCTCTGGAGCAGAGCAGCCATGGCTTGTTGAGCACACATGAATGAATCCTGTGCCATGGCCTCGCTCACAAAATAAACACACTGCCAGATCACACAGGGCCACACTGGCACAGCTTACAAAGCTTCCAAGAAGTGACAAAGACTTAGGGGATAGGACTGGGTCCTACTTGACTAATTTTGCTTTTAATCACAAGCTTTTATCTCTACTGATAAAGTTTGGGTATGATGCACAAGGGATAAAGATGGGAGCTGTAATCTCAAACAGTAAAATAACAAAACGTTTATTAAATGATGCATGAGAAGCTTCTTTTCCAGAGAAGGATATGACTATATTAAAAAACATTTAAAGAAGTCTAAATAGGACTTTGGTTACTATATTAAGGTTCTATTTTTTTAGTCCATCAATCTTCCCTGTTGGCTCAGCTTTGAGCTGCAGCCCTTTCTCAGCCCATGGAAAGGAGCTGTATCTTCCCTACCAGCAAGCAGAAGACCATCAAGTTGAACTAATGATGGAAGCTTTGCCTGTGGGAAATATAATAATTTAAATTTCCGTATTGGTGGCACAACTGGAATATCTAAGTAATGGTGTGAGTGTTTTCTTGGACTAGTTTTAAGATTACTGCATAAAAGGAAACGCTTTGAAGTTCTGGCAAAAATCAGAACTGGTAACTGGTGGTTTTATATCCTGCTTTCAGAAGCCATGGGCATACAGAACAGCAATTAGGTCAAGCTTTTCTGTTGTTCCCAAGAAATGTAAAAATATTTTTTGATAATTCTTCCTTACCAAGAGAGAAAAAGGAGGCAGCTCCCCCTGCATCACTGCTGACTTGCAGAGGGTGGCTTTACACAAGGAGTCTGTGCTCCAGGCCCACAGCAAACCTGCAGTGAGCCCCTCACTGGGCTGTGCACACACACACAGACTCTTCTGTTCTCCTCACTCTGCCTTGCTCCAGCCATGGGAAATGCTCCTCCTGCAGGAGGGAGGAGCTCCTGCAGGCTCCTCCAGGAGCTTCTGTGAGCCTCTGCCTGGGCCCTTATGTTCTAGCAGGAGCAGGGCCATGGTTCCAGGCAGGATGACAACACAGACCTTCCCAAACTCCCCCAGCACTGATGGCACTCCATTAAACAGCTTTTCCTGCACACAGGATTCCTGCCTGCCATATCCCACTCCCTCCCCAGAGCAGTTAAGACACATACAGCAAAATTCATCCATGAGTTATTTTGGTGGGTGAACAAGAGCCAGAGGGCAAGACACAAAAAAAAAAAAAAAAAAAAAAAAAAAAGAAAAAAAAAAAAGGGGCAAAATACCAAGAATCTAGCATGGCACCAGTTATCTTAGTCTTTTTGCTTTACCCCCCTTGCCTTAATTGCATCAATATTTTTAAATGAAACATTTATCACATCTTACCAATGAGAACATTACTCAATTTTTTTTGCAGCAAAATACATGGCAGCAAAAAGCATAATTTCCTAGGATCTCATGCTCATGGCATGCTAAGTCACACTGAGTCCTGTTCTAGGTGTGAAACAGAGATGTGTCAAGTTTTGAAGGACACAGAAGATCCTAATAAATACCCACAAAACAGCTGTTCCTCAGAAAGTGCTATAAGTAGATATAAGGAGCACTGAGATACTCTGGCAAAAATAAATTGTATCCTAAGGCAGTGATGCTTCAAACATGTGCTGAAGCCCATAAAAATAAGTTAAAGGCTGTGTTGACAGACAGGATGAAGGAAAAATCTGTTTCTAGGATTAGTAGTTACAAAAGGTCTTCCAGATCCTGGAGTAATCACAGGATGAAATTTCCAGATGGCTCACCAGGATCATAGTAAGACCAGGCAAGAAACACATCCCTAAAGTTAGCAGGCACAGCAAATCTTCTGAATAAATGGTATCTCAAGGATACTACTGAGAATCATCACATGAAGATGGCACCCAAAATCTTCTCCAAATGAGCATCAGCTTCTCCCAAACTGGTCCAAATCTACTCACCTTCCTGGAAACAGGAGGAGTGAAAGCTGCTTGCCCTGCATGTCAGCCAGGGCAGCAGCCCTGAGCTCTGGGCACACTGAGCATCTGTTTGGGGCCCTGCTGTAATTTGGCCCCAGTGAGGAACTGGTGCATGTTTGTGAGATGCCCCAAACCATCTCACTTCTGCCAGCTGGTTTTATAAAGCTGCTGCTTTGAGATGAGGGTGAAGACGCTTGGTAAGCTCAAAACAAAGCACAAAGTGCCATCAGGGAGCCACCCTCCCAAAGGGAGCTGGAAAGCCACAACACCTTCAGATGTGATTTTCCTCAGGTTTAAATGTGAAACTCAGGCATTAGAGAAGTGAAACCTGGCAGAAGCCATGAAAAGCAAGCTGGTAACCTCCCCAAAGCAGCTCAGCAGCACCAGAGCCTTTGGCAGGGCCAGCCCAGGCTGATGGGGACAACGGGAAAAGGCACCGAGCAGAGCAGAGAAATCAGGAATCTGAACCAAGGGTTGGCTGAGCCAGCCATGGCTTAAAGCCAAGGAAAAGTGGCAACAGCTTCTAGACAAGGAAGGTTGGGGGATGCTGTTCTGCCCCTGTAATGCAACATTTGCCTTCATTCATGGAGAAAACAATTCAGAGAGGACAGAAGGGTCTCTGGTTTGGGACACGGCTGGGGGACACTGGGCCATGGCACCTCCCAATGTCCAACAGCACTTAACCCCAGCCTTTCCCATGACACGAGGCCAAGTTTGGAAGTAAATTCACTGGAAACAATCACTAATGCTTGCTAAACACTTGTTAATTTCTAAACAAACAAACAAATCCAACCCAAAGAACTTTCAGCCTCCTGTCCCTGCCTGACCAGCACAGATGTAGTCACTTCCTAACAGCAAGAAGAGGCACAGACACATGTCCCTGCAGCAGGGCAGGTCCTAGGAAATGGGGAGCTTTTGTCTACTTCCCTCATGGTGATTCACTACAGGAGCAGTTCTTCTCAGTGAATATGGCACAGAAAATCCAGGTGAGGAGAAAGCAGGGTTTTCTCTCTCCAGGAGCAGGTCCATGCAGTGCTGCACACGTGCAGCTGGCACAGAGAGGGAGCCTGCCAATCTGCAGCCCTTCCCTTTGGAGAGAGCGATTTCCCATTCAGGTACAAAACAGATGCAGGAACCCAGCCAGGCCAGAGCTCTTGGCTGCTCACAGAACATCTTTAAGGGCTGAATGACAAGCTGTAGAGCAGATGTTCACCCCTGGCAGCAGCTCAGCCATACTGTGCTCTATGGTTTTGCTTTTCCAGCTCTGGCCAGAAAGGATGCATATTTCCCCATGCTGTGTGATGGAGAAGAGACTGACCCTGGCTGTGGTGGGATTTTCTAACAGGCATCAGCAAACTCCCCCAGAAGGGAACCAAGTGCTTTACTGGCAGTTCAGCATGCCCTGAACACCATCCCTGGCTGACTGACACTGAATCCCAGGAACAAGGCAGCCCTTACCGTCACTGGATGGGTCAGGCACCACTCACAAAAGGCTTTTGGAGGAGTGCAAAAGCAGATTTCTGGAGAAGCTGAAAGGGGACAAAAAAGCTGAGTCTGCTGCTCTGAACACTCCCAGCAGGCTGCAAGCACCACTTTTCAAATAGTTTAAAAGGAAAAAAAAGTGATTAATTTTTGCTAATACATGACAGTTTGAGCTGGAGTAAAGTCAGATTCACAGAACTTATCTGACTCAGGATACAGCATCTTTCTGAAATGTACACATTGGAAGATGAATCATACTTGTCTTATAAGGACACTTCCCAAATTTGCTCTCCTGTAACTGTTCAGGGTTCCCGTTCTGCAATAGAAGATGATGTCACTGTTTACATAAATAAAGGCAATGGTGCTCAGATCAGATCTAGGAAACCAGTCTCTTTGCTCTTAGTTATCAACCACAAGTACTTTCTTTCAAGGCTGGGGAGTGGAAGAACTGGCCAGGGCATAAATAGAATCACAGACCAAAAACAAGGTGCAAAAATGACCCAAATCACATACTTGACACAGATTGCTTTTGTTCTTAGAAAACTGGCCATGTTAAAAGTGATGTAGCTCTCATTGCTCTCACTCTGTCCACAGTAGGGAGATTAAACTTCTGCACAGGAGAGTTGCAACTGAAAAATATTGTCATTACACTGAGCACAAATAGGTTCTTCTTGAACATTGAGCATGCACGTGGCCTCCCCTCTCCCCCCAGCTTACATTTTATGAGATTTTTGACAGTCAGAGAAAAATCTCCTTCCATATGTTCAGGATGTTAAGATTTCAACCTCTTTGCAGCAGGAAAATAAAGTCATCTTCTTTGCAGTGCCGCAGCAGCGGGCACACACAGAGCACTGAAACAGGAAGGCATGAACTGATCTCTGCCATGGCTGAAACTGCAGGGATCCCGGAGCAGGTCGTGTTCCTGTCATGTCTGCAGATGCTCTGTTAAGGACTCCAGGGACATAGAGCAATTACTAGGGTTTGTTTCTGCTTTCCAGGAGCAGTTCTGTTTAGGAGAGAATAGAAAGGGATTATTTTTACCTTATAGTTTGGACTGACAGGGTGTGAACTGAATTTTTCTTCCCACAGAGAGACACCACGAACAACTCTTGCAAGGCCCTGTAACGGGGCTGTTCCTCCTCAGCAGAGCCCCAAAGCCCCAGGGCTAATGAGGGTGACAGGCAGGGCCCAATTAGCAGCACAGGCACAGGGATGGTTGCCTTTAGGCCACACACTGAGTCTAAAGGGTTTTTCCCTTTTGTTTTGGGGGCTTTGTTGGTTTGTGGGTTTTTTTGCTTTAAGGCTAGAAAGTTGACATCTGCTTCTGGTAAAATTAACAAACTATTTTATTTGTCAGTAATTTAGATTGAAACAGTACTGAGAACTGCATTGTCTGGGTCTGCAGGACTGTAGGAAGTATCAGTGAAGCATTTTCCACTGGCATGTGTATAGAGAAAGCAACACATAAGTGAAGATAATTTTTTCCATATAGATTATGTACATTGTTATACACAAGTGAGAATTAGACAAAACAAAACTAGAACAAAGATTCTTTTAAGTTGTAAAAGGATCTTTGTCTCTCAGCCATAGGGATGGCTCAAGCCAAGCTCCATGGATGAGGCAACGATGAGGCAACAGATGCATCAAAGGCATCTCACTCGTAGGACACAGTTTAGCCAAGGCAAGACAGACCAGGGCATTGCTGGCACCACTGTCATTCTTGCTACAGCACAAAGGAATTCCCAGCTCTTACCTTCTCCTGATGCAGCCAGGCTCGGGTGCACCCTCCACTGTGCCCTACACAAGTCCTGGCACCTGGGCAGCAGAGCTGCTTCCAGCAGGGGCTCTGCCCACCCTGCAGTGGCACTGTGCCCCCCTGGCAGTGTACCCAGCTGCATTCTGCAGTGTGACCTCCACCAAACCCCATCCCACCACCTTTCCTGCAGCTCTGACTGCCCAGACCAAAGACTTGGCATCCTGGACACCAGTTCAAATCCCCTGGCAGCTCTTTTATTGTTCACCTGCTCAATGCTGCAAACACAGCTCCAGGTCTACCCCCTGATGCAACAGGCAGGAGAAATCTTGTGCATTTGGGGCAAGGGAAGCCCATGGACCTGGCTCTCATGGAGGAAGGTGCCCTGCAAGGGTGACAGGAAGCCTCAGGTCACAGCAGCCCCAGGGGTCAGTGCCAGGAAGGGGAGAAGAATGGAGCAGGCTTCCCACGAGGGTCAGGCACAGGGCAGGAAGGCAGACATTGTGTGTGAGGCCCCTCTCCTGCACAGTGTGTCAAACATTAACCAGCACCTTCCCTCTCACTGCCCAGGGTCACACAGGGCAGCTCCCCCTGCCCCGGGCAGCCACTGGGGCTCTCCACCACACCCTGGCTCAGGGAGCAGGCAGCAGACACCAGCAGAGGATGGGGATGCTCTTTCAAGGCTGGAAAAGTACTTTTTCCTTTTGTGGTAAAACCCAGGAACACCCTTCCCTGACCCATTTGACCCTTCCCTTCCTGATGTGGCCCCTACCCCATGCCTCTCCCTTGCATTGTGTGGGAACATTGCCCAAAACACGCTGGTTTCCCCTCATTTCCTTCCCCTCAAGACACCTGGACCTTCCTCCTGCAGGCTCCTGCCACCCCTCATGCTGATACAGGCCAGGCCAAGGGTTTATTGTCCAGGAAACCAAAACAACCCAACATCCAGCTCAGGGCTGCTGGGGTGACATGCTCAGGGACAACACAGCCACCAGGGCCTTTATGCTCTGAGGGTGACAAATAATTTATTTCAGCAAAACCACCCTGACATATTTGAGGAAAAACAGAAGCAGCAACTACCAGCAAGGACACCCCCAAGAAGGCTGTAGGGGAAGTATTTTCCACCACAAAACATGTTTTGAAATGTATTTGGAATTGGTGATTTAAGTCTCAAGCTGTTAGTAGAAGAGCTCTGCTTAAACAAGTCAGTTTTGCATGCATTAAGCAACGCAGCACAGAAACAAAAGAAAAAATCCTCTCCAGCTTCAATGCCAGGTAAAAAGTTATTGGGAGGCAGCCAATATATTTGGGGAAGGTTTTTAAACACCCTCTTTCAAACTAAGATGCCTCAGCAGAGATCTGTGCACACAGAACACATCACAAATGGCAACTCCAACTTCACCCTTCTCACACACTGAATTTTAAAAGCTTAAAACACCTTTATCTAAATCTCTGTCCTGTTAAAAATCCACTGAGAAGCACAAAGCTTCATCCCACTCAAACAGAATGTATGGATAAGTGGAGTTCCTTGCTCTGCTACACCAGCTTGTTTCTGCTCCATGACCATGGATTCAGGAATCCATGCAAGCACAGCTTTGCTGGTCATGGAATGTGAACTGCGAAACACAAACTGATCACAGAACAGTCTGAGTTGGAGGGACCCACAAGGATCATCGAGCCCAACTCCTGAATGAGCCATACAGGGACCAAACCCACAACCTTGGTGTAACTAGAACCTGCTCTGAGCAGCTGAGCTGACCTGCCCCAGAATCATTGCACAGTTTGGACTGAAAAGGGACCTTAAAGACCATTTTATTTCAACCCCCTGCCATGGGCAGGGACACCTGCCATTAGACCAGGTTGCTCAAAGCCCCATCCAGCCAGCCTGGCCTGGAATACTTCCAGGGATGGGACATCCACAGCTTCTCTGGACAACCTGTGCTAGGGCCTCACCACTCTCACAGGAAGAATTTATCCCCAATATCCAAGCTAAGTCCATCTGTTGCCATGTATGCTGGAGGCCAGCTGAAAGCCAGCCCCACAGAGCTGAGCAGAGCACACTGAGATGCAGCAGACAGACAGACAGACGCTGCTTCTCACTGGTGGGCATGCAGAGCCTGCTCAGATGGGTACAGCCCGTGCTGGGCTTCAGCTCTGTCCCACTCTGGACACTGCAGACCCTGAGGCAGTGCCAGCACTGTAAAGCAGCAGCCACAGCACAGCAAACCACCCCAGCCTGGGACTGCAGAGAGCAGCTCGCAGCTGCAGGGAGGCAAGGCCATTGTGTGTGCCTGGCTCTGCAGCACCAGCCACAGCCATGAAAGAGCCCTCCTGACCCTGAGACCTCCCTGGACACACAGCTGAGCCTCAGCTGCTTTTGAGCAGGGGAGATGCCTGCATGCAAGACTGGGCAGCCACAGATGGTGAAAGACTGGCCTTTCTCACTCATCAGTGAGCTTCTTTTTATGGCTTCTCAGCTTTCATTATGAGGAGCAGGAAGAGTGAAGTGCTGGTGTTTGCAGGCAGTGCTAACAGGATGTGACTGTGCCCTGACTCATCATCCTCTTTTCTCCTGAAGAGGAGAGGGCTGCTCACACCTGGGCCATGGACACCTATGGCCACACTCATCAGCACAAACCCACTGCTTCCCAAACTTGCACTTCAGAGGCTCCAGGAAGCGACCTTCACATCACACAGCTAGAACTTTATATTTTCAGAGGATCCTCACAACCAAAAGGACTGAAGAACTCCAAAATGCCCTCAAAATTTAAAGAGTAACACAGCAGTTTTCTGAGGAGTGTCTGAGCTAGCAGGATTGCACTGAGGTATTAAGTCCAAGAAATTAAAGCATTAAGCCACACAGCTGCAGAATATGACTAAATACACAATTATTGTTCTCTGTTTTACAATTGAAAACTTACCATGTTTGAATAATCTCCAGTGAAATGTATTTCATGGGAACTGGAAACAATTTGCATTAAATGAACCAGATGAACACCACTGTTAGTGAGTCCACGTGCACATGAGCAGGACTGAGGTGCCTCAGCTGAGAATTATCTCTGCCAATACCGTGGCTCATCTTCCATCCTGACAAACTTACACCAAAGATTTCCCTGATACATTTCCCTGCCCATCTAAGGCAGTCATTCAGTAGCAGGGATGTCTCACAGGCTCACATTCCAAGCAGATGCAACATCCTACACATCTGACAAAGCAATTCAGTTCTCACCAAAGAAACATCCCAGAAGGGCTCATTCAGATGGAATTCTTCCAGTATTTGTTTTTCAATTACTGGAAGAAACATCACTGTGGGGTAAATGATTTTTTACCACTCAGTAGATTTCAAATGAGACACACCATATAAGACATCAGAATTTTTTTTGTATTTGTCTACTAAACATCCTCCTGAACAAGGACATGGATGTGCTAAGTTACACCCTCACTTGCTGCAAAGGCAATCATGTTAAGTAATAATAAGAGAGATGGCTAATATTTAATGTTAATATTTATAATATGTTCATATTTATTTATTTATTGGGTGGGACATAATTTTTCTAAAAAAGAATTACAGTTCAGGGAAGTCTGCAGGGGAAGGATGCACTATTGCTGCAATATATAGCACAGCCACACTAACACCTGGCCAACCCAAGGCTGGAAGTGCAATTAAAAAATGACAGAGAAATTGCTGCAGGCTACGTCTTTGCTTATGTGCCACTGCAATAATTACAAAATGGAAAAATAAAAAAAAAGAACAATAAGTGTGTCTTACAATGGCAGCTACAGTTGGATTCCAGTCAGGCTCTGCAACAGAAAAACTGCCAGTCAGCTGTGGCTGCTACACTTAGAACAGAAACACCAAATGCCTTGAATATCACACGCAGTGAGCCTGGAATATTGACATTGAACTTTTAAAAATGAGCAAACTTTATCACCCCCTTTTACCTGTAGCATTACTCAGAAATAAACTCATTCAGGGTCTAAAGAAGAGAGCTCTGCACTGGTGTTGGGAGACAGGAATTCAACACAAACTTGTAACACATCAAGTGCTACCAGCAACGTCCCATGAAGAGCAGCAGATATATTTATCACCTTTTTAGGCTTCCTTCCTCCCCCCCAACCATCTACTGCATCTGGAAGAATGTTTTAATGCCAATTCTGACTTTAACTTTTTAAATTGAAAAATAGAAGAGTTAAGTTACCTGGGTCTTACACCAGGACTTACTGCCTGCCTGGAGTGAAACCATGTGTACTTA